GGCAGCATTTATTGTTCCTGCATCTGAACAAGGATGAGCAGCTGTGATGACAACAGCAGGTAGAGGGGAAAATTCTTCCTCCTCTGCAACAGTTCTTGACTTAAATAAAACATCAATGAAAAATGGAGGAAGAAAAAGAAAATACAAGCAAAGCATAAGAATGAATTGTTATATGGACCTTAATGGCTCCAGTTCCTTCATCAATTAACTGGCAAGGCAGCTTTGAAGTGCTAGCAGGCAAACTGTGATGCTCTGCTCTTCCTGCTCAGCCTGTGGACTCAGCCCACCTCACAGTCCATCCCAGGTTCCCTGGGAATGGTGTGAGACATCCAGATCATCCTCACCAAGGGCTGTGGGAACTCACTCAGGAGGACCAGCTCAAGGCATCTCACCACAAAACAAAACAATCACCCCTTCCATACACAGGTGAGGCACAGCACCAGCACCTTGCCCAAAAACACCTGGAGGTTACAACTTCCAACTGCAAGGAGTTTTCACATCTTTTGTTGCTGCAAATGAGGCAGGACACAATTACACACAGTATGGTTCAGACTTGCTGCAGAGATGTAATTACCAGAGGTTTCTAATATCAACTCTCAAATTGACCTTAAAAGGAGCAAGTCTTTCCTCAGTATGAAATCCACTACACACAGCTGGTAATGCCAATAACAAAAAAAAATAATAATTAGCAAGTGAACTTGGAAGCAGCTTTGAGAAGAAATTCTTACCAAGACTGCAGAGGGCTCTTGCGTTGACCTTCAGCCAAAAATGCTTGAACATCAAGACTACAATGACCACCAATTTCTCCCTTCTGGAAAAAGTCTTCTTTGAATCTAATGCAAATTAGATAAAGTCTATCAGCTTTTGTGCAACAGGGCCACCAGTGTCCTGCAATCTTAATTACATACTCAAGCCAGTGCTGCTTAGTCTCAGTTCAGCAAGGCACTTCATACATATTTAAAACCTGAGTATTTTCCTCAGTGTAAATCAAGAATTTCCCACAATTCCCAAATAAAAATAGTGGTGTACTTGAAGGTCTAGGCATCATCTTAGAAAGCAGCAATAATCCATCCAGGATGTTATTAAAAGTGATTTACACATACCCACGTAAGTAATTTAATCAAATTTTTCTTCATGACAGTGATGCATCGTCATGAGAGGATCATCACTGGTTGGAGTTCTTGTTTGTTTCTAACAATCTCTTACTGAAATTTACCTCAGATCTCACAACCCACTTTGCTACCCAAGGATTTTATATGACATGTGAAGAGTGAGATGCAAGAACAAGTTTCCAGAAAACAAGTTGCCAGTTAAAAGCACTGTCTAAATCAGCTTTCAGAACAGGCTGTGATGATGACAAAACCCATTCTGAAGGGTAATATCACTGTCAGTCATGAACCAGATCAAGACACTGACTTCAGAGACAAGTCAGAGGGTCATGCCAGCACCACTGGTATGTTTTTTTCATCCAGTTTCCAATATGTGGCTTTTTAATTCAGGATGTAGAAGATCCAGGTTCAGCTCTCTCCTCAGTCACTCAATACCTAATAATGCAGCTCCTGAATCTGGTATAAAGGCACAGGAAATGTCTTGGTTCCTCAGACAAAAGCAATTGTATTCTACACATCATCTAATCAAGGAAGGACATGGCTGAATACACAAAAATGTCTTCATCTCTTCCATCAAGGAAGATTTCAATCACCCATCCTCATTCCATAAAAGTGAGAACTTGGGTTTTTACACCAGCAGCAGCAGCCAGCAATGAAGAGGGGCAAACCTTTACAGGGCTTCAGCAACAAGCCTCTGATCAGCAGTAAAAAGGTTAAAAAAAAGTAAAACCCATAGCAACAAGCAAACCAGCTTTGTTAAACAAATTCTCAAATCCTTTCCCCTGCCATGCCATTTTTGCTATAACCCAGGCAAATCAGAGACCTGTCGTGGTTTCTCTTTACAGCTCGTAAATCAATGTACAAGTTTGTTGCTCTGCAATGCTGAAGGTACTGGGAGCAGGTCAGAGATGAATCTCCCTGTTAAGAACAAGTAGAATTCTGTCAATAACAAAAATTATTTTTAAAAACAAGTGCAAAGTATCACATTTATCAGAAATACCTACTGTTGCTGTAGGCTTGCAATGGGTTTTCACTTCACTGAGTCTCTCTTGAACATATCCGAAATCTGCTTGTTTCCAAAATATCTGCTGGGCTGTCTCGATGTCTCTTGCCCTGATGTGTGAGAGAGAGAGGAAACAAATCAAGGTTCTCTTGCTCAATCCTAGTAATAACTTCAACAGATCACATTTTTCTACTGAAAGTGGAACACAAGAACCAGCCAGTTATTTTATTGGCATTTAAGATGCCAAAACAGGAAGCACTTATCAGCTGCATGTAAGTGAAAACATCAATGACAATTTAGAGCTATTCTCCCCTAAAAGGGTATACATTTTTTTCTACATTTTTCCTCTGTTTTTAAAGCTAAGAAAGGAAATACAGCTATTTTAGGAATCTGTATTCAGGGCTAAATCAGAATAATGAAAACATTCTGGCAGGAAGCACTTGTAGCAGTATTTTCTTCCTTAAAACTTGTAATTTTTTAATCATGTTGAAAGGCTCATTATGCATAAATACACACATTGTATATACACAGGTGTCCAGACTTTAAATTCTAATCATCACAATAATGTTTACTTCACAAGTATATCAAAGTGAGCACTACACTATTTTTTTACCATAATGTACAGTAGACATTTAAAATTAAACTTACCACCCAGTTTCAACATAGTCACACACTGGGTAACTGAATCTGTTCTCTGATTTGCAAGATTTCTCATAACCCCAGCAGGATTTTAGTTTCTTCAAGTGTTTCTGCAACACAGAATCATGTTTTGCAACAGGAAAATGGGAAATGGCTGAAGTAAGTTGTTAGCTTTAAAACGACATCTAGCTCATAAATCTTCCATAAAAGGCTTTTGGTTTGGTCTGTTTTCAAACAGAGTTTGAGAAACAACGTCCAGATTCCTCAGGCACAGCAGAGGCTCCAAGGTGGACACGCATGCACAGCAATATGACTCTTTTACAGGTTCTGAGACAAATCCTTTCCCTGACTAATTGGCAAGGAGACCAATTAATCATCACCTTCAACTGCTACAACTCCCAAGAACAAACCACCCCAACAGGACATTTGAACAGTCAAACAGGAAAAAAGTAAACTTACTTTATATGGGCAAAGAGGATCCTGCTTACAGATGTCAGCAACATGCTGGTTATTGTGCAGAAAGTAGGGGATGTGCTCATCTGGCAAGTTGATTGTTTTGTAGCTGTAGAATGGCTCTTCTGGAATGTTTGGGAATTCAGTAGGATTTTCAGCTTGGGAATTAGCCAGAATTTCTTGCAGTAGCAATCCAAACACAAGCAACATAAACATGGCAACCTGTGAGTTCTGTACTTTATAAATAAAATATTAAAAAAAAAAAAGGAATTAACATATCTGCAGCATTTCAAGCACACAGAACAAAATTCAGTCAGAGTCGGACATGTAGTCAAAGAATTTGTACTTGGATTTCTGGGGTGGTTTCTTTTTCCTGTGAAGACCAAACTTTCACTGAGAGGCCAGACTGCACAACCTCAGGATTATCTTTGAATCATTAGTCATTGAGTGTTATTACGCACTACAAACTCCCAGTCAAGCTAAAATGGGTGTGTTTACTTTAGCTAAATGCCAAGGGATCCTGAGAGTTCAGTGTGGAAACCAAGTATAGAGCATGAAATATCCAGTGAGAAGGGAAAAAAAATAGAAGAACTGGGGGGGGAGGGGTGAGAAAAGGAGGCTTTTTAGTTTTAAAGTAAGTATGAAAACAACACATTCTCCATTTTGAACTAATAATTGGCTGAAGGAAAAATAGGCAGACACAAATAGAGAGTCACAGCTAAGTCTTACAGGATGCCTATTTTTAGTGCTTAACATCATGTTAAAGAAACTTGACTACTGAGTATATTCTATCTATAATTTTATATATAATAGAAGTGTATTTATATATATATACACACATGTACACACACACAGGCCCACACAGCTGTATACCCTAAAGCTGACTGCATACCTTCCTGCTAATACAACCTTCTCATCTAACACCCCTGCTTTGAACCATTCAACTTCCTGAGGAAAAGAAATGCATGGCCTGTATCTAAACTCCACCTTTTTTTGGTGTTATAATTTGCTAAAAATTTGCATGCTTGCTTTCAACTGAAGCCTTTAGCAAAATTCCTACGATACAAGCAGTTTTACCTGTTTGGTTTGAGAGGAACCACTTCAGATTTCCCAGGTACAGAAACCTAGAGTGGGGGAGGAAGGTGGAGTTAGGCACGTCCTGCAAAAGGAGATTTCCTCAGGACACTGTGCTGCTCCTAGGGACACGTTCCCAGCAATGAGAGCAGCTGCCACAGCCCGGGCACCGTGCTGAGCCCTCACTCGGGTCCCTTTCCAGCACACAGCCCGGGCACCGTGCTGAGCCCTCACTCGGGTCCCTTTCCAGCACACAGCCCGGGCACGGGCTATTTCACACGGAGCACGCCTCTCCCACCACGAACCCGGCAGTGGCCCCAAAACTCGCGGTCCCTTCCCCACCCCTGGGCGCTGGCTGAGGGGCTGTCACTTGGGGAGGGTGCCTGGCATCCTGTGCCAGGCCGTGCACGATAGACCCAGAAACGGACCCGGACCCAGCCGGAGCTGGTGCCTGACCCACGCTCGTCATACCCGGCACCGCCGCCCCGCCCTGCGCTCCCCTGCCCCGGCACGGCAGCGCATCTCACCGGGTACCGCACCGCGCATCGCACCGGGTACCGCACCGCGCATCGCACCGCGCATCTCACCGGGTACCGCACCGCGCATCGCACCGCGTACCGCACCGCGCATCGCACCGCGTACCGCACCGCGTATCGCACCGGGTACCGCACCGCGCATCTCACCGGGTACCGCACCGCGCATCGCACCGCGTACCGCACCGCGCATCGCACCGCGTACCGCACCGCGCATCGCACCGCGTACCGCACCGCGCATCGCACCGGGTACCGCACCGCGCATCGCACCGCGTACCGCACCGCGCATCTCACCGCGTACCGCACCGCGCACCGCACCGCGCATCTCACCGCGTACGGCACCGCGTATCTCAGCCCCGCCGGCCCCGAGGAGCCCCGCGGCCCACGGGACCGGCCGCTCCTCCTGTTCGGCGCTCGCCGCCGGCCTCAAGCCTCATGTCCGGGGGCAGCGCTCGGCCCGGCCCCGCCGGGCTCCGGGGGAAGCGGCCGTGCGGGTGTGAGGGAGGGGCGGGCGGGGCCGGGACCGCCCCGCCCGGGGCAGCGGGAGCCGGGGAAGGACGGCAGGGAAGGAAAGCGGGGAAGGAAGGCAGGGAAGGAGGAGCGGCCGGGCCGGGCTCCGGCGGCGCGGCGCAGGTGGGGCCGCAGCGAAGGGCACCTGCCCGCGGGGGAGCGGCGGCGGAGCAGCCGCGTCTTCCTTCTGCTGCCGGAAATTAAGCGCGGCCGCCCCGGGAGCGGCGAGCGCAGGATGCGGAGGAAAAGGGCCTTTTCCTGCCGCGGCCCGGCAGGAAGCGCAGGCTCCGGCGCCCCATTGTTCCAGGCGTCCCCCCGAGCCCCGGCCGGCCGCGCTCAGGGGCAGAGGCTGAGCGATGCGCTGCCCGCTCCCCCTGACACGCGGCAGCGCTCCCGCCTGTGCCGGCGCCCCGCAGCCTCCCCCGCTCTGACCCAATTCCCGCGGCGACGAGCGCCGGGGGAGGCACAGGCGCCAGCACCCAGAGCTTTGAATCCTCCCGCACAGCCCAGAGCTCTTCTCACCTCCTTCCCAGGTGGGAAACGAGGAACAAACGCTCAGCCCGAGCCGGGAAACCCGAGAGAACGCGGCGCCGGCAGAGGTGCTGACCCTGCAGGGACACCGCTTACCTGAATAAAGGAAATTAGTCTGAATTTCACATTATTCACAACCCCGTCGCTGCTGTGCATTTGGAAATAAACCAGCTCCTCGTACCCACGGTACCTCAAAACTTCAACTGGCATCTGTGCCTGTATTCCAATTACATCTGGTATCTTCTACCTTAAGTACTATTTTCCTTTCGCAGCACTAGTTTACACCCACCCTCCCTAGAATTATTTTCTCAAAGAGAACCAGAGCACACTGTTAGCGGAAAATTTTATTTTACGCTCACCCGTGTTTTTTACAGTTTATACATATTTTACAGCTAGAAACCAAGGGGTTTAATTTCACTGTGATAACCATTTCACCTCTTATTAAGGATTATTATAGCCCTTAGTAAAATGTAAGCACATAAATTACAACAAACATGTAGCAGTAAAAAAAATAGAACTAACCCTTCTCTCACATATTTTGACATGGGATTTTGAACATGGGCTCTTGAGTTCCTAAAGGAAGTATCAGAGTAATCTATTCCTCATCCAAACCCACCTACATCCACAGAGGCCTTTCCAATCAGCAATTCAGCTCCCTCTGAACACTACACTGAGTAACCTTTAAATAACATTTCTGTACTTGCATATGCAATGAAAATGAGAGCTAAGTTAGTTGCTTTCAGAAGAAATGTTCTAAAATAAAAAATTTAGACAAAAGTGCTAGAATTCTCATTCCTTTCATTTTGCACGTTACTCTTCTAGGCAATCTCAGTAAAAGCAAAGAATTGTGTTCAAGCAGACACTAACGTTTCTTCAAAACAAGCATACAATTAGATCAAAGATGAGCAAACCATGATATTGTAAAGTCTGTTACTTTTCAATAGCCACTTTGTTTTCTAAGGCTTTGATGATTAAGACACAGAAGGCCGTCTGATTTTCAGGTGATATTAAAGGTTGCACTACAAGGGTATATAGAATCCAAAAATAATCAATATGAATATTTATATCTACTTTAGTAAAATTTTTTAAATCTAATACCTTTTCTGTTTTTACACTTAAAACAGTAAATGCTGATTGCATGTTAAAATTTCCTTTTTACCTAAGCTTTTCCTGAAAAACAAGATAGCCCAAGGCATTCTCAGAACTGTCAGTCCTTGAGGAATATAAAATAATTTATTTTTCTTTGCTGCTGCATTTGTCAGCCAAGATTGTAAAAAAAAAGTTGAAAATCAGGAAGTTATTGATTCACTGTAGTAGATAAAAGCTGAACGGAATTTCTAATCTTTGACCATCACAAAGAGTTGTTTTCTTAAGAAAAGGCTCAACTAACCCTTGTACATCATAATTCTAAATCAGTAAAATTCCAGCAAGTGCTTTAATATGGACTGATTTTTGTTTAGGTTTGATTAGTCTAGGATTTTCCAGAAACTCAGAGCAAACAACCATGCTTTAATATGAAGTGTTAAATTCTGAGGTTTTTAGAATAAAAACTGTACCACCAAGGTTTCCAAAACTGAAATGAAACCAGAGAGTAATCCCCTCCCACCTCCCAATGAAAAAAAAAAAAAAAAAAAAAAAAAAAAAAAAAAAAA